AGAAGTCTTGAAAGGACTCAGGGCCTTTGCGGGATACATAGCCTACCAAGCACCAGCAAGTGCTGTTGCACTGTGTGCTGGTAACTTACTTCAGGGGTTCCTGCCTTGAGAGGAAGGTACCTGTATGAATCATCCTATTTCTTGTTTGTGAAAGTAGAGTGATTAAAAGAATAGAGAAGCAGGTTGAACCTACTTGTACTTTGATGCAGGATGCTTTCTTTGTTTGCTGGGGTTTATTTAAATGCTCTCTGCTTGCTTGGCCTTTTTTTTTTCCCTAGTTCTCTGCAAATTAAAAAAAAAAGTGAGAGATCAATTGGATACCTTTAAGTTTTAACGAAAGTTAAAATGCTTTGAATACTTTACAGGTACTTAATGAACTTCTTAAGCTTCAGTTTCTAATTTCGAAAAGATGTTCTCAAAAGGCACAATATGTTCAAAACTTGTTGAGTCTGTGCTTTAGCAATTGATAACTTAGCAGAACTCTGAACTTCTCTGAGAAATAAAATTATGTTCTGTACAGTATATAAATGTGTTTATGTTAGTAATTTGGGCTCAATGTATCTGCAGTATCCCTTCTTCTCTGTGACTTGGCCAATTCCAACTCCCTTAAAGGCATTCTAGAGCGAAGCATGGCGGGGAACAGGAACACAAAATGCCATCCCTTCATCTGTTTCCTCTTGTTATCTCGTATGGAAACTACAGAATTAATTAATGTTTAGTTTTGTGAATGATTAAGAGTATCAGTGAGAGAAATTGAGCAAAGCAGCACATCTGTTTTTCATTAGGAGGAAGGCTAAAATACTTATGGGATTGTGCCAGAAAAAAAATGGCAGGAGCATTTGGGAGTGAAATGAGATGTGTTACCACTGCTGCTCTTCAGGCAGAGCCACTTGCTAAACTGCAGCTTTATTGGTCACAGCGGTTGTTCGTTAACCAGCTTCAGCCTCGCTCTTCGTGGGAGATGGTCCCCTGGCTGCTCAGCTCTCTTAAGTTGTGCAGGGTGGGAAGTCGCTCGTATCTTGGCTGGGTCTCATCATGTGCAGTCCCCTTGCTATCGCCTGCCGCCTTTTGTGACCCATGCTCTGCTGTCTTGACACTGTCTTAGGTTAATTCACTTCCCTCCCCTTTAAGAAAAGATCTTCAGCAGAGACATCTGACAAGTCTGAGTGTGACAGCATATTATATTATGACCAACGATATACTGTTAGTTTCATCTTATTTGCACAATAGGGTAGTTATAATCTTCATGTATGATTACTTTATGTCATATACTGACCCGAATCTTCTGTTCTGAGCTGATCTATCTCCACCTGCAAGCCTGTGTTTGCCTAATAGCCTTACACTCTTATGTGTGCAGCAATGCTAACAGTATATCAAACACCACGTGAAATATGCTTGTACCAACCAGTCATGATTAATCTATTTGAAGCTACAAACTGAAGGGATGCTAATGAATTAAGTATCATCGTAAAGAGGAAAGAAGATTTATGTTTAAATTTTAATCCTATACTTGCTATTTCATTTTCTTTGTGGAATTGATTTTGCCCAAGGCATACTACTATACTACAAATAAACAATGCATATTATATAGTCTCTAGGTAATGCCAACAACCCTGCCACATTCCTGTCTTTTGGGGGTTATATGAGATATAAATAAAGCCGTGCTCTTTCCTTCTGATTTTTTTTTCCTAATTGTACAGGTTTTGATATATTAAAATGTGTTGTCCTTCTAGGAGTCTTGTTCTGCATGCAAGAGATGGACATTGGAGACTGTGCAAGCTGCCTAAAGCCACATGTCATAGGAAGTGACATGACACAGAAGTTTCCAGATTACATGTAAAATTTCAAATTAGGAGTTCCCAGATTTTTTTCCCTTGCTTATATCCGAGTTCCGTTGTACTTGGAGCAGTTTTGTGCTTTGAAGAGTTTTTATGGCACCAAAGTTGGCCTCTGCTTTTTTTTGCTCATTAGCATTTTCAACTTTGTACTGTATCTAACCTTATTAGATCTCTTCATTTCAACCTTATTAGATCTCTTCATTTCTTTTGACTTTGTGGATCTTAAAACCACGGGAGATTCCGTATCTTCTTTCTGCTCCGACTGCTTTTACATTTCATGTTGTCCTTGTGTGACAGTGCATAACTTCAAATCCCCTGGAGCTGAGCAGTATTTGAGAGGCAGCAAAAAAAATGAGCACCAAAGACCTTAAAAAATTCTGTGTTCTGTTAAAATAGTTTGGGCTGGAAATTTCCCTGGGAATAGACTTGCAGTTCCAAAGCAAGCTTAGGAATTCCCTTTTTGCCTCTGTTTGCCATGGTAACAAATTATATGTGCTTTAAGGGAGAACTTCCTTCTTTTATTATATACTAGTTCTCCTCTCTTGCATAGTAATTTCCACTAGCTTTGTTCTTGGTGTCCTTGGGTCTGCAGAACTCTGTTTACTGACTGCAGCTTAAAGAATTTATGTATAATCTGTTGTAAGTGGTAGGAAAAATTGCTCATAACTAGTAGGGAAGAGTGGTCTGTGATACTGGCTGTTTTTGGTTAGTGGTCGTGGGTTTTTTTTTGGATTTTGGGTGTTTTTGTTTGTCTTTTTGCTTGTTTGTTTTGCGATTTAACTCTGTATATCCCAATGAGTAGAAACTCTCAGATTCTTCCTCACTCATGCACGTGCACAATTCGCATAGAATTGATTTCTGCAGGAAGTATGATGTAGTAGGAATGGGTTACTGAGGACCTATATATCCACTCATAGATGCAGTTTGGGCTGCTGGATCAGCCAAGATGATGACCAGCTCCTAGTCCCAAGGTTTTTAAATATTATATTTGTAGTAATGCCATACGGTGGGTTCAAATGGACAAAAAAGTTGCGTGTTTATTAGTGGTTTATTGTGACCACTAGCCATGTTGGACTAATTTTCTTGGGAGCAGAAGTAGCTCTGGTCTTGAAATAGTGATGTATTCTGTCTGCTTAAGGTAAAGTTTTTTTGATCTCACAGAAACACATAAGCTGGATACAAGGTGGCCCCAAATTTCAGTATAAAGCTCAACTGTAGATTTGTGCCTAACTGCTAACATACGTAATACAAACTTATATTGACTAGACTTTAACAAGCATGGAACGAGATGGTTCAATTAAGTGTGTGCTTGTGTCTGCTTTTTTTTTTAACCTTCAGAAACCTTTTCTTGTGGTTCCAGGCAGCTCTACACGTTTCAAAATGGACCGGTTTGAAGACGTATCAGACGGTGAAGTGGATCATGCTTTCTTTGACAGTGATTTTGAGGAACAGCAAAAGAAAGATGAACAAAATGATGAGTGTAGAGAGAAGGAAAATACGAAGGCAGTTCTTCCAGAGCCTGACTTGGTTCCTAATTCAAAGGATGAGAAGTGTCCTGAGGAGGAAGGCAAAGACAAACAGAAAGACTTGGTGAAGGAGCAGTCCTTAGACAATCTGACAGACCCTACTGGGGATGCTTCACCTTTGCCACTTTCTCCAGTTTCAGAGAATGCAGGTACATCTGGAGCAACATCTGCAGCAAATAGTGGAACGCAGGAGAATGTTCCTGCTGGAATCCCCAAAATAGTTAAAGAAGGCGAAGAAGATTATTACACAGATGAAGAAGATAGTAGTGATGATGGCAAAAAACAGAGGGTTAGACCAAAGTCAGCTAAACAATCAAACATGAAAAAAGCCAACAAAAAATATACCAATATCAGCTCCTCCTCTTCTTCTTCGTCTTCCTCTTCGTCGTCTTCCTCATCCTCAAGCTCAGATACGGATTGTTCTGATACAGATTCCGATAGTTTATCAGATTCATCTCATTCTTCCTCAAAAAGGAATGCTTGTAGTGTGGCTCTTCTGTCTCCGAAACAAAAATTCAGATCAGGAATGAAATTAGCGGAAGGGAAACCAAAGCTTGGTGACTACTTGGAGGAGTCTGAAGACACAGTGACTGATGTAACGCCTTTGTCAACCCCAGACATCAGTCCTATTCAGTCTTTTGAACTTGCAGCATCAAACGATAAGAAATTAAAAATAAAAAGACAGGAAAATGTGAGCCAAGACCTATATGGTAATTTTAAAGAATTTAAATACAATGCAAAATTTGTAAAAATCTACAAGGCTGGGAAATTCAATCTTATATCTGTATCTTTTTCACTAGATTCCGAGTTTGATCGCAGATATAGTCGAAAAGTCTTACATGATGCCATGGACCTGAATCAGCTTTTGAAAGGTGACCTATTTATATTTTTACTCCCACAAATTATAACATTTGTAAATTGTGGAGAGCAGTCTAGAATTGAGTTTTTATCACAAGTATTTTTAAAACTGATTTATATTTATGCAGTTTCTATTTAAATTCTGAAGTATTTTAGTAGTATTGATTTCACAGTGGAAAGTAGAAGCGTGTCTATGATACATGTAGGAGTAAGACATATAGATGAATGAATCCCCAAATAAGACTTCATCTGTTAACAGATTAAATATGAGAAGTGTACATGCATTTTTGACAAAGCATAAATATGCCACAATTTACTATGTAAATTAAAACAGTGATTTAAATACTGGATTATCATCCAACCTTCAAAACTGGAAAAGGGGTCCAGAACTGCATTGTATAATAACTAAAACTCATGGTAACATTCATTTAAATTTCTGGTACCCTTTTAATAATGGATCAGTATTATTTAAAATATTTTTTCCTGAATTCAGGGTCTGCTTTTTAAGATATCATAGTTAAGTAGAAGTATTTTAAAGAAAAAAAAAACCATAATCTTTACTAAAAACTTAAATGTTTGCTTCATGCCAGTAGATTTAATAAATCTTAATACAGTAATGAAGTCTGTGGGAGAAAGCTTGGCATGCCTTGCGCTGCATTCTTCCCAAACTGCCACTGTACATGAGGAGAGCACACTACATGATTCTGTCTGTGTATTTTAAGAATTCCAGAGTGTTTTTGAATGTGTTTTCATGGTCCAAAGCTTTCAATAGTAAAAACTTTAGAAGAAAAGGGACTCTGCTCAAGAAGTCTGCCACTCTCCAGTGTAAAAACCTTTTTATAGCCCAAGTCTGGTACTTCTCAACCCAAGTTTTCTGTAGTGCTTAGGTCTGGCATGATTAAAACTGTGCGTGTCATTTTTATTCACTTTCCACCTTACCAGACTGAGCCTGTAGTGAGGAAGGATTCAAAATAGATTTCATGCATCATTTAGCTTTTCTAGGAATAGAAATGAGCATTTTACTTGTGTGGAAATTCTTCTGAGAGTAAGAAGAGCAGAGCTAGCAGAGCTAACCATCAAGAACGGTAGTGATGCTTCTTACCTCTGGCAATCCTTGTGTCCCAGGAACTTTTTTCTGCTATACAAAGACTCCAAGAACCTGCCAGAATGTTATCCTAGTAGGAAGGGGTGTTGCTAAGCAATGTCCTGTATCTTTACTTGTTCCCTGGTAGAAAAATGCTATTTACTAACCGGCATTTATGGAAGGGTTTTTGTCATTCCTAAGAACACATGGGATATTATAGCCCAGAAGAAATATTCTCAGAGGTGAATCGCTGTTTGGAGAGGGGAGTGTTGTTTTTTTTTTTTTGTTTGTTTTTTTGCTTTTTTTTTGTTTTTTTTTTTTTTTCCAAAAGTGAAAAACAATTCTAAATAACAGTAATAAAAAATTGAGTAATGAGAAGTGGAAGTCATATAGTCTGGCGATTAATGTTCCTGATTAACATGGATATTACTCCCAAGTGCCTCTGTAATTTGGCAAGCACAACATAGCTTAATTACTTGGGGTATTTTAAAGTTTAAATTGGGCTTCATGGTGGAAAGTAACTAGTCTGCAAAAATAGGAGCTAATCTAATTCTAAATTATTCCTTCTAGGATTTTTTTTGTGTTCATAAAAAGTGCAGACCCTCTCACTCCCATAGCCTGCATGAAACATCAGAGCTGGATAGGCATGAACATTGCCTCAAGTGAGAACAGTCTAAGTCCAGATCTGAGAGCATGAAACAGAGGTCTCAGATTTGTTTTTGAAATATAACATTGCTTTTCAGTAAGCTCTATTGATGCAACATTTAGGTTACAGTTTTTGACAAATATACTTTTAGTATAGCTGGCTCTAAGTGCTTATAGCAGTTACGTGAGCCTGATTTCCAAAAACCTCCAGAATTTCCGTGTGATCTGTTACTGCGTTGTTTCTAGGGTGATTTCAGCAATTTGTTTTATTTGTTTTAAATGTTGATAATGTCAACATTTGGGGTGACCAGGATCGTAGAAAAATAAAAGGCCATGATGGTCAAAGAACAAGATTGGAATAGCACAGCCTGGTCATTAAGCAGCAAGGCAGTTTGTGTATCCTAAAACTGCTTAATTTGAAATGTATAGAAAAATCATTGTAATAAAAATTAAAAGGAGCAAAAGTATTTTTTTCTGTTATATGCCCTTGATATGTATTTGTGCACAGATGCAAATTATTCAACTTTTATAAGCATTTGCAAAAAGTTATGCTCAAAATTGTTAACTGGCCCTTACATCTCCTAAAGCCGTGCTAGTTCTTGATAGAAGTTAATTTTTAAGCTACACTTTTCAGAAAATTAAAAAAATCTCACAGACAGCATAATTTTAGTTGAAAATCATGTGATCCCCATACTATGTATTCCTGAAGGCTTCTAGGTGGATGCTGTTATTTTTGAGAAATATTCTTTAGTGACCAGAATTCTGAACAAGATAAGGTTTTGGAAAGACGAATGATAACAGTTGCTGCATCTTAAAGTTGTCCGTGTGTGTGTACTGTTACTGAAGCGACCCTTACCAGGTAAGGGAAGGTGCAGCGTGCCCTCAACTCGCCAAATGGAAAATAACTGAACTACTTTCAGTCTTCTAGGCAGAAATGGACCGCACAGCAGTAGCTGAGGGCAGTCAAGATTTATTTGAAAGCTGGAGAGAAGCAGATGCTGCATGTTACCAAAGACTGAGCATGTGACTCTCCTTATATCCTTATGTCAGCATGTCCTTAGTCCTTATGTCAGCATTTGCTGGACGGGAGCTGAGCCCCTTTTTAAGAGGAAGGAAGAGCAAAATGTGGGGTTTTCAGGACCTGCAGGTTGCTGGCGCGGCTCTGCAGGCACACTGATCGAAAAGGACACATGAACAGCAGGGCAGTCTTCAGAGCTGATGCAGTGAAGGCACTGCAGGGCCCAGGTATCTGTAAGCAACTGTTCTATGGCATGGGATGCACATTGGCTTCCTGCACACTGTTTTGGCTGGCAGGTACCTTCAGCTGGCAGACACTCGCAGACACTGCCAGACACAGTGAAAGCAAAGGTGTTTCTCTCGTAGGACATAAACCGATGACCTCGGGACTTGTTATCTGCTTTGATCTCTGCTGTTCGTTCCCACATCAGACTTGCTGCTGTGTGGCCAATGCCCAGTTCAGGAGGCTTCAAATTTGGGTGGGAAGGGATGCATCTCAGCAGTGCCCTCCCTGAGGGGCAGGGCCTGCCCTGCTTGCACTGAGGCCCCACGACTGCAGAGACTGGGACAGTGAAATGGGCTTGGGTTGTGTTACAGTCTTGACTCAAATATGCCATGTTTCTTATCACTGGACTTGATGGCTTGTTGGTTTTCACTGCATTGTGTATAAAACCTGGCTTTAGCTGCCGTATGTCTTCAGGAACTGCAAGCTGCTGAGCTGCTGAATTATTTAATTGCTTATTAGTGTTTTTTCCCTGTGTTCATAGAAAATGCTTCCTGTTTGGGCAATATGCCTCTTTAAAATGCATATAAATAGTAGTCCAGCAGGATTATGGAAATGATCGTGCCCTTGTACTCAGCACTGGTGAGGCCACACCTCGAATACTGTGTTGAGTTTTGGGCCCCTCACTACAGGAAGGACATTGAGGTGCTGGAGCGAGTCCAGAGAAGGGCAGTGAAGCTGGTGAAGGGGCTGGAGCAGAGACCTTACGAGGAGCGGCTGAGGGAGCTGGGGTTATTTAGTGAGGAGAAGAGGAGGCTCTGGGGAGACCTTACAGCTCTCTACAAGGACCTGAAAGGAGATTGTAGTGAGGTGAGCATTGATCTCTTCTCCAGAATAATTACAGACAGGACAAGAGGAAATGGCCCTAAGTTGTGCCAGGGGAGGTTCAGGTCAGACATTAGGAAGAATTTCTGCGCAGAAAGAGTGGTGAAACATTGGAACAGGCTGCCCGGGAACATGGTGGAGTCCCCATCCCTGGCAGTGTTGAAGAAAAGTGTAGATGAGGCACTTAGGGACATAATTTAGCTGGGATGATGTTGAGGGGCTCCCAGCTGGGCTCAATGATCTCCAAAGTCTTTTCCAACCATGATGATTCTATGATTCTAAGAGGTTTATGTCACTTCACTGTGACATGGGCTGGTGTTCTGTGGGTGGTTATTGCCCCTAGGTGTGAGACTGAGAATGTTGTAGTGCTGTGGAGCTGGATCAATCTCCTTAGGATTTAGGCATTTAAACTTGGGCATTCATAGTTTAAGTTATTGAAGGATATTAAGCTTTGCTGTTTCCAGACCTTTCCTCATTGATCTTATTTTTTTTGGACCTAGATGGAAAATAAACCTGCATGTGGTTATATATTTTCAGGTAGGATTATGGTTCTTCAGTCGTTTAGTGTTATTTCATTGGGTTTTTGTGCATAACTCTGCTTTGCTCATAGACCTTGGTGTTAAACGTCTTAATGAGAATAAGAATTAACTCAGGGCAGTATTCAAAACTCATTTATGATTATAAATGGTAGAGATTTTATCTCCTTCTCTGCTACACTCTGGAGTAATAGGAACACAAAAAGAGAAAATGAAATATGCCAATGCAAGGATATAGATTGCCAGAAATTTGGGGGTGGATTTGCTTGCATGAATTTCCATGTCTAAGAAATCTGAAAGTAGGGAAAAAAAATCTAGGGCTATTTTACACATGTCTATGTCTTAATCCAGTGTCCCTTGCCTTCTTAAGTAATTGAGGTTATGCAAATAAAGAGATAGGCCTAGGATGTGCACTAAGAATTCAGCCATTGCCATTCCATTATACTGCGAGCCTCCTCTCTCTGGCTTTAGCCAAGAGTTTTGATTTCTGTAGTTCAGAGTTGTAAGCTAACAGATGCCTGCGTCTTTATATCTCAGTTTGTATGGATGTGAATACAGTAGTACTGTGATTGCACAAGGCATATAGAGTAAAGAATTCAGCAGTTTGTCTTATTCATCTGTAAAACGGGGTTGATACCTACTTATTCTTACTGAAGTGTCGGTAAGAATTAGTCTCTAAATCCATGGCATTACCTATTATTAACCTATGCTGAGAGACAGTGCGATGGGGTAAGTAGGACGCTGGGCCGCAGACTGAAGACCTGGAATGTAACCTTGAAACTCCCGCGGATCTATATGCTCTTTGCTCTGATTTGATTCTTTTATGTTTTTCAAATGGCAGTTAAAGATGTGATAGTAAGCAGCATAAACCAAAACACCAGGCAAATTCAAAAGAGCAAGCCCAGAAGCAATCCTGCAGGGATTGCAACAGCTACAGTGAAATGCGGTAGACTTTAATTTTTGTCTTAATACCATTAAGACAGCTCTATCATCCTATCATCCTCTCCTAACATACTTGACCTGCTAATTGTCGTTTGCCTTTATACCAAGGTTTACCCTTTTTACTCTGCAAGGGCATTTCAGTGTTCGCAAACTGAGAGCAATAAGCTGTTTATTACTAAAAATAAATAAATAAAGTCAGATGTCTCTCCATGGAAACGAGTTTTCACACATATTCCATGAGCACCAGAACATTTTCTGATAAGCAGTAGCAGAAAAGGAGAAGTAGAACTGCTCGCTGTGCAAGTCTTTATGCAAACAATGCTGCTGCTTTACCCTCCCTCCACTCCCCTCCTCCACCATTAATTGACTTCTGCTCTGGCTGAAAAAGAAGTGGCAAGTAGGGATTTTATGAAGTTCCTTGTTACTCAGTGGTAGGGTATGAAGCTGCAGGGAAACTGTATTCAATTACTCCAAGACTTCAGAAAAGGACAAATCGCCTGCTCTTCAGAGCCTTAAGTCATAACATTAAACTTTTAATGTTGCCTCATGTTACTGGATGCTGCAAGAAGAGTCAGATTAACCCTTCAAACACCAGCGCACTGTGCAAAAAATATGTGTAAACAGTAGTGCTGAAACATTGTTGAATAAATTATTCAGATAACTTTGTTTCCCAGGTATTTGAGTTTTGCCACCCTGGCTTGAAATACTTAGATTTAGAAAAGGTTATCTACATGGGCAGGCTGCAGTCATTTAAGGGTTGCTGTTAAGTGGTACTGATAATTTCAATTCTTCCTCGGCATGAATCCCAAACCTCCCTAAAAGAGTACCCTGACTTGCTAGCTTAATGGCTTGAAGAGCAACAGAACTACTTGCAAGGGGCTGTCTGATCTGCTGCCACTGGGAAAATCTGCCTGTTGAAGTGCAGTTCACGTGTCTTCAGCCTCCTGCGTGGCCTGTAAAAGTGCTTTTGAGGAAGCAAAGAAAACAGTGAGGAACCAGAAATGTTGAAATTGATCTTTTCTCCCCATTCCTTTGAGGAAAACTGGTCTGTTGCACATATTGTATCAGGTCTGGGCTTCAGTGCCAAATTCATGAATCCCGTGTCATTGAAAAGCACAGCAAGAGATTAGCTAGGGAGCTTGGGCAGTCTTCTGCTGAGGCTGCACCAAGGAGCTCTGCCCAGAAGAACCTAAGAATATAAGGGAGGGCAGAAAGAAGAAAAAAGGAGTATAAAAAGGAAGTGTGTGTCCGTGCAGTGCGGCAGTGCGACTGAAGAAGCTGAAAGGCGAGAATAAATTTACACTCAGTAAGATTTTGTCATGCTTTGCTCACGTCCATAAGCACTGAGCGTCGAGGGGAAGCGAAAAGCGGTGAGGCTGTGTTACTGCTCTGCTTTTATTTTTATTTTTTTCTCATTAATGCTGATAGGGATTTTCCAGAAAAACTAGCAGGAGAAAAAGCCCATACTAACTTTGATGCTTATTGATTTCTAAGCATTTTTAAACTGTTTTTGCTGAGTTCGTAACTAGGTATTATGAATTCTGTCTCCACTAGGGTGTAGTCACATGAAGGACAGAGAGAGAAAACACGTATCACTGAAGGTGTGAAATGAAGGAACTTGCGTTTCTAATTAAAGGTGTCCTCATTCAGAATGTTATTACTTCAAATGAGATTTGATTAGTTCATGCTTTTCACAAAAGGAAAAGAATAATTTGGAATTTGCACGGACAGTTATTGAGGAACTTAAATGTCTCTAGTAAAGGACTGTGTCCCTGGTAGTCCTGGTGGCATAAAGCTAGGGAGGGATGGTGGCTGCACAGCTATTCTTTACCACAGCCTGATTTCCACTCTTGGATATGTCTTGAGGTCTTTAACTTGTGAGGTGCTGTGGAGGTAAAAGAAAAGAGGAAATTGTATCTTTGATGTCTTCATAATATTTTCCATTTTGTAACTTGGCTGCATGTGAAATGTAACAAATCTCTTCCTCAGGCAGGTGTGAAAATTAGCCGCTTCCAATTGTGGTCTGCAGGGAAGGCTTTGCACCTTGCCACAAGGATATATTTGATTGTCCTTTGCAGAGAAGTACATTGCAGCTCTATGATACTGTGTGAATTATGTGGTTCGAGTTATTTTCTGTGTATTCCTTCTTGTCCCTTGTAGGTTTATCCAGATGAGTCATATCCCAGGTTTGTCTCCTCAGATGGCTTGGCAGCTGTGCTAGTTTTCTCTTGAGAATAACATATTGCATTATAAAGATGCTTTTCAAGGCATTTATACTTTATTAATCTTCTGAGTGACACACTTATCTGCACTGTTTTACTTTGTGTTTTAGGTTTAGGATGAATTGCATCTTTTCTTGACAATTTAATAAAGCACTGCTTGCTAATGTGAATAGCCTAGCAGTCAGTTTTCAAACATTAGTTCTTGCCTGTATCTGCTAACCTACTGACTATGCAAGCTTGCTATGAATCTCTTGCTATGCAGAGATTCATAAACTGTTCAAATTTCAGTTTCTGGACATTGTTTCCAGTTCTTTGAAAGGCAGAATATTTCACTGCATCAGTTTTGGAATAACCACAGTTGAGACACTGAAAAAGATTTCCTGCTCCCCCTTCCATTTAATAAGAACATGCTTATCACTCTCAGGTTTTTAAGCTATTAAATGCTACTTCAGTAGCTTCTCACAAAATTGCTAATGTGGAAGTGTTGGCTGAGGACATACTTTTAGATTACTGCATGCATTACTGGATGCATGTTCTGCATCTGTTCTTGTTCTTCTGCAGTTATCTGCCTCTGTTGACAGTTTCTGTTGTAGGGGGCTCTTAGCGTTGTGAAGGGTCCCTTTTAGAAATGCTAGTACTGCAGCAGCGTGGGGAAGGGCTTGAGGGAGGTCTCCTGCTGTGCCTCCCAGCTCCAGAAAAGATGCTCCATCCCACCTGGTACAGCCACTCCTGTGACACTGACATTGCAGAGGCTTTCTGGGTTAATACCATTAGAGCAAAGCTGTTAGAACAGCTGCCTGAGGAAGTGCCACAGGCAGCAGGAAGCAGAGGCTTAGAGACAGGTCAGGGCTCCAGCTGAGCTCCGGTGGAGCTGTGACGTGCAGAAGGAGCGCTGGTGGGAGTCACGTTTTCCAGTTATGTTCTTATCTTGGGACTCTGCAGGTCTGGCTTGCTGTGCCGAGTTATTTTTAAGTGTACATTCTTTGTCCTGGGAAACTGTTTTTCTGTCTTGAAACCCTATTCCTTGTTTAGCTTGTCAGTCTTCACTTTTAATATTGCCAGGCTCTAGTTATTTCTTCTTCTGTCGTATGTGCTTGCTCATTTCTCTCCATCCCTGAAGCTTAATTTTATCTTTCCCTTTTTGGATCCTGCACCAACATGATGCAGGGTCACTTCAGGAGTAAGGAATGAGGAAAATCCCTTCAGGAAATGTATTCTGTGTCTCTGGGTCGTGCTTTCCCAGTGTCGGTTTTCTGTTTGAAACACCATTAACATTCTGCCTCCCCGCTGAGAGGTTATTTTGGATATCTCTGTATTTTTTGTTTTTGTTTTTGTTTTGTATAATTTTTTGTATATTTGTATTTTTTTTTAATCCAAGTATTTTCCTTTTGCCATTTTAAAGCTTTTCTACAGTTGGAGAAGAAGGAGCAACAAAAAATAACCATTGATCCACCATCTAAAGGGTCAAGGAAAAATTACTCTTTCACAAATGAAGAAGTAAGACAGATTGATCGGGAAAACCAAAGGCTGTTGAGAGAACTGTCCAGGCAGTCTGCGAAGCCCAGAAGCAGAAGCACCACTTTGAAGAAATCGGCTCTTCCTCCTCCTAAGTTGTACCACAGTGCCCTCAACAGGCAAAAGGAACAGCAAAGAATTGAAAGGGAAAACCTGGTAAGTTTTGAGGGGTTTTAGGTCTGAGAACTTTTCAGTGTCAGGTAAGTCAGTAAATACTTACAGAAGCTACTAAGGCAGTGCTTGTAGCTTTACTGCAGTTAGACTGAAATTCCTGGGTTTGACCTAGCCATGCTGTGACTATCCATCACTGTACAGTATGAATAATTATATTATTCATATGGTGTTACTTTTTTAATTTTTTTTGGTGAAAACAGAGTTTACTTTGTACAAGTTTGCTGTATTTCAGTATTGTCCCATTTGATAGGAGCAGTCATTTTTGTTAATACACTCACAACTTTCTGTAGCAGTCTTATTCTGATCCTCATTCAGGCATCATGATTACCTGTCCCTTAAGAAAGGGCTTGCAAAAAAAAAAAAGAGCAGTGAGTATAATAACTTCGAGCCCGTTATGTTTGGACCATAGAGAATACACCATGAATGTAAATTTTGTTTCTTAGTCATTTTATAGCTAGCCATCCTTTTCAGTATTTGTAGTTCTTTGCTTGACACATTATTTATATATATGTAGCAGCCACAATCACTTAGTTAAAAAAAAGAAATCCAGATTCATTCAAATAGAGGTACTAGCAGAGTGGTCAGATAACAAATATAATTGGTTTGAATAAGATAGCTTTAGTAGTAAAGATGTGCTACAGATTATGACACTTTCATATCTAGTTGTTCTTTAATGTGTTTGAAGAGGAGATAATGCTACTTGGAAAAGTTGTACTGAAAGTAGTTTATTCATTATTGGGACACTTTTTCAGTCTAAGTGTAAGTTGAGAATTTTCCCCACATGTTGTGTTAATGATGGTGAGTATTAAGACATTGAAAGCAGAACTTGCTCTTTCATGTGGTCTTCTCTGATAGGAATATATTGTTAGGCAGCAGCAAGAAGTACCATGTCACAGCTTCTTGCCATCTAGTAGTAATCATCTATTGTTATGTAACTTAAAATTACTAGGTAGGTGTTGCAATACCAATATATATCACTACTTATAATACACCTTTGCTTACTCAAGTCCATAAGCCCCTTCTCCTTCAATTTACTGCAATATTTTATCTGAGAATGTCTTGCCTTTGCAACTTTTGCTTCAAAATTTAGCAGGCTTAAATCCAGTTAGTCATTTCACATGCTGTTCTAATACGTTAGAGATGAGTGGTGACTGCTTGAAGTCCAAGAATTAATAACCTTCAGTTACTTATTCGTTTATGTCTTAGTTATTAAGGTATTAACTACAGCAACAGGAATAGAAACTTTTGACTTCAAAGTAATTTTTTATAATTTGTGTTAGAACATCTTGCTATTTTAGGCTATTAAAATTGGTTTATTCATTCTTCAAATGCATGGTGATGTATTTTGTTCCCTTCAGAAGAGGGATTCGCTAGTACAGCCCTTATATTTTGTTTAACATTTCTTTCATCTCCAAGGCAATTCTGTGTACTTATTTATTCTGTTTGAAGTGTATGTGCAACCAGAGCATCACAGTTTTAGAGCTGCATAGCTAAAAGTGGTTTTTTCTTCTGTTTTCTTTTCATCAGCAACTTTCTTCACCTTTGTCCTTTGTAAATGAGAGCTGAAGTTCTGTTGAACTTCCATATCAATCTATCTTGATAAGCGGTTATCTCGCAGCCTGTGCAGGGAGATTGCAAAGACAGAGAGTTAAACAGCAAAGATTTCTCTGTTCGATTACAGCTTTTATAATTCCTTGTCCTCATGTTGACACCTTGTCAAGGGAAAACTTTCATTTGTTCCACTAGATCGTTCTTGGAGTGATGCCTATGTTTGCAGCTTGCTTTCTGGTGCAGGCGTTTGGCCTCTGAGGCTGATGCAGAGAAAGTAATTCAGGGAGTGGGGAGTTAGAGAGGGGCTGGAGTGCTTTGGTTCTCCAGCTCTGTGAAAAGGCCCAAGGAAGCACGTGCAACATACGTTCCCCTCGCAGACTCTGCGGGAGAGCCGTGGTGGACTAGAAAGGTGTATTGCTCTGAAAAACCACAGTTACAGTGTGGTGAGTAGGAATTTGGAAAAAAATAGAGAATAAGCACAAGAAACCATTAATAAAATTCATGTTCATTTTTTCCACTTGCTCCTTTTGACTCTGTTCCTCTGAAAGTGGACCCTGCTTTGCATTGTTTGTGCAAGTTAGCACAACACAAGTGTGGCTCTTGCCAGTAGAGGATGCTCTTGATTCAGCAAACAAACTGCTCTCATGTCCTATCTCCCCTCCAATGGGAAAGGGGACAAGTGTGACTGATGCATTGCTTTTCTTCAGTGTCTACAGGCATGTATGTCAATTTATAGGGTGGAAATTTGTGATCTGAATTATAGAATCTGCAAAACCTGGGCTGGTATACACATGTGAGTGTCTGTGCAGCATGAAGTGCAGATTTGCGGTCATGATCCCGGTCCTGAATCACTTCATCAAAACTTAAAGTAATGCTATCCATCAACTGCCTTAAATTGAGACTATTTATGTGTATGTGGGTGCATATATGCATACAAAGGTGATCTCTGCAGCCTACACTGGAAGTTCCCTGGGAAACCTCAGCAGGTCTAGGACAGCAGCTCTCAAACCTTAGAGCAAGGCAGAATGGGCATTTCCCACACAACCCTGTGTTTCCTTCCCTCCCGGTGCTTTTCTGCCCCACTGCGTGCAGTGATGGACATTGCTCATTGCCCTCGTCATACTTGTCCCCAATGCACCCTAAGCCCCAGCAGAGCTAACTCTGATCCTGGTTCTCTGCAGGGGCCGTTTTCCCTTCGTCCTGCTTGCACCTCTGCATTCACACTAACTTAGGGAGAATTCTGCATGCTGCTCAGCTTCCTGAGCTGAGGTTGGTTGTACTTTCAGCTCACTTTGTGTGGATGTCAGTCACACGCAAATATGAGAAGCCTTCAGTTAAAAAGGCTTCTGTAGACTGAGGAACTTAAAGATTTTGGGGCTTCTTGATCTGTAGAACATGTCAGCCTAGACCTAATTAATGCAACTGGCAGTTGAAGAAAACTACAAATCCCTGTGTGGACAAGAACAAAAAGGTGTCCTTGGCTGCACTGCTGTTTTCTTCCCCTACCCCCACCTGAACTCAGCCAAGGGACGGTGCGGTCGCTGTAACATGAGTGCCATTAGGGGAGGCACAGTATAAATAAATGTGAACAGCTGTCGAGGCGCACAGGTCAGCTGGTGAGGATTCACTGGAGGTGAAACTGAAGTCTGCCTGCATTTGAAAAGCAAAGTAAAAGGAAGAAAAATAGCAGTCGTTACCTTCTCTCTGAAATGAATTTGTCAACTGCATTTTTGTTTTTTTCAGCTTTTTTCCTTTGTCTTTCCTTCCAAAATAGCTTCAGAGAAGCTGACTTCTTTCTTTCTTTCTTTCTTTGATAGAGAGCACTAGGGTTAGGTTTAGTGCTCTCCTAATAAGCCAGCAGTTGGGCTATTTATTGTAGCATTTATCTTAGCCCAGGCCTTTAATGAGGTGTGAGGTTCTTTTGTTCCCCAGTTGTTGCCAGTCTCATACTTGCTTTCCTCACCGGCAGTTTTAATGCCGTTACAGACACTAGATGTACAGGTTTATAAAGAGTAATCCCTTTTTTAGTGGTTAATGTTCCTTGTGCGAGAACATTTTCTGTGCTTTCTTTTTTGTTTTTATTCTACTTTCATTGTAAACTCAGTAGCATAATGAAAGGGGAAGGAGGATGGAATAGAGGCCTTGGGAAACTTTTGCCGAACTGGGAGACTATTGGCAACATGACAGGTTTGGAGCAGGGTTTTTTTACATGGCACAGCAGAGAAGGCAGTTGTGAAAATCATTGTTTTACTTAAGTACTAATGCAGACCTTGAATCAACTAAACAGCTATGACATAATTAAGATCAAGTTAATGACATTGCTGCAGGTTATGTATTTGTTGCTCATTTTTCTCCTTCAACATAATCAGACATAATTAAGATCAAGTTAATGACATTTGTTGCTCATTTTTCTCCTTAAACATGATCAAGAGCATGTCTGGTTCTGAACACTGGGATTATGTTATGTGACCTGATTCTTCAGTCATTAAGGCCAATGACAAAATTTCCACTTATTTTAGTGATATGGCTAAAGGGAATTAGCACTTGAACAAGGAAAGTGGCAGTGTTCCTCAGTGTATCTCAAGATGCTGTTGTGAGGACAACAGAAAGAATTGGCAAATTTAAATGCGTAACTGAAAAAAAAGAACATAATTTAACACCATTGTGCAAGGCAGTTAAGTACTAGAAGATCAAAGTGTTTGTAATGTAAGAATCAGATTAGTTCAGAGTTACAGATTTAATGGGTCAGGACTGAGATTTTGGTGTGTTGATGAGTTCATTTCTGCATGCTGAAATTGCAAAATTCTTAACTTCAAATAACATATAAGTGGACTTGCCCTTGGTGCAATTCTCAGCAGAGAGTGAGGGTACCAGACAGGCTATTCTCTCCTCCTAAGGGTTTCTTAGAGCACTTCTGCACACCATGCAATACATTTGTGTTCTCTTCCTAGCTAGGATTGTATAAAGCCCAGTGTTAATCTGCTTTAAAAGTAATTTTTTAGTACTAATGAGAGGGGTTGTTTTGATTTAATGATGGGGATTTGATACTTGTCCAATTACAGGCATAAAGGTAAAAGAATTGCCTTTAAACCAGACTAGAATGGGCATATGCAAATATGCAGGTTAGGAAGTAAGCCTGAAATTGCTGCAATATCATGGTATGTAAGTTATATGAAGCTGCTGCGGTCGGAATGCTCTCCATTTGTGATAGAGCTGAGTCTTTTGAGAGATTCTATTTTTAGTGTTGGAGGAAAATCAAAGTTATCTTTGTAAGTCTGAATGTATGTATTTGTGTCAGAAGGTACTGTTGGAGTTGTGTCCAAATGTTACATCCAACATTGTACATACAAGTCTACCAATTCATGTTCTGCAGCTATCTCTAGCAAAGAGCTATTTCTGGCTGAAGTCCTTCCTTTGACTTTTGCTTACTTAGGTCTTTCCACTCAGCGATGAACTGAGTGGCACTTGATGCCAGCACATGTGACGTAGGACGTCAGGGCCCAAATGACTTGTCCTTTCTTGCTCGCTCCGGGTAGTTTCCAGCTCTCACGCGTAAGCGCGGAAAGGTTGTGGCTCCCTGTCACAGCTAGACAAAGATAACTGACATCTTGTGAATACTCTGCTGCTTCTCAAATCACCTGCTGAAAAACTTATTTTTCCTCAGAAGAAATCTCAACTGAAGGGAGGGAGGAAAGACTGATCACTTCAAAGCTTGGCTGTACAGATTCTTGACCTCTTCCATATGTGTACCTAGATAATACACCCTTGTTAATGGAGCTGTTTGGGGACTTTGGAGATGTGTGTGCTCGCAGTTTGTGTTCTCTGTCCTTAGCAGGGTGCATCTTACAACCCTGATGGGTGATAGTTGCCTCATTGCCAAAAGCTGCTGGGTCGTCAAGCCTGACATTAGTTAGTGGAGGGAATGGCAAACATCAGAGGCCAGATGCATTAAAATTTTAAGCTGTATGTTGCATGCTGCTGGTTCCTTCCTAGTTTGTCTTACCATCAAGTTCTTTTTTTTATAATACCGGGGAAAGTTTTTAAACCAATACTTTTACTTGAAGCAGGATGTATTTGGGAAGGGATATTTGGGAAACTGTGCTATGAAAGTAACTGTTCTGACTCAATGTGAACTACCTGGGTGCCAGGGTTAACCCCTTCAAGAGGGGCAATATCTAGAATAATAATTTCTGCTAGTCTCTTGAAATTATTTTAAGAATATCACAAATATCAGTGTCAAATGGATTTTTATGCTTTCTGTTTGACACTCTGCACACTTTCACAGAGTTGAAGTCAGTAGATCTCCCTGGGGGCCTTGTGGAAGAATATAAAATAGTCTAAGTAGGTTTGCAAAGTGAAAATTAAATTTAAAAAAATCTTCTTATGCTGCCTGAGATTTAACTCTACAAGGAGAAGCCAACAGCACATATTCCTGTCATCTTCACCACCACCAACATATGTGTAGTTTCAAGTCATTGTGAAGCGCAGGGAAATACAGGGTGCAAAGGATGTACTCAGCGTAGAACAGATGATGTGAAATGGCCACATGCTGCTTTTGTCCGATTGCAGCGGCGTGTGAAGAGCTGGACCTGAGCAGAACAGCACAGCTGCTCACCAGCAGCGTTGTCCATGCTGACTGCGGGGAGATGAGCTGTGTTTCTAAACATTGTTATTTTCTCCATACAAATAAAAATCAATATGGAAATATTTCTTTTGTAGCTCCTTAATTTTTCTCCTTCTTGATATTTTGTTTAAACTTAAGGCTTTTTTGAAGAGATTGGAAGCAGTGAAACCGACAGCTGGAATGAGGCGTTCTGAACAACTGCTGGACTATCAGCGCCAGATGAGCTACCTGAGTTCTTCACCGTCCGCGAGAAGAGGCAAGTCCCAGCTGAGCCCTTCGAGTAAGTACTAGTGAGTACCTAGTCAGTACTAGGTACTAGACCCATACACGTCAGCGTAACCACTGCACTATGCTTGAATTCCCTGTCCCAACCATTTACAAACAGTCATTAACAGGCTGTGCGGTTTTGTGAGTTTTTTGTGGCTTTATTTGTTTGTTTTCGGTGTTTCTTTTCTTGAAAATATGGTAATGAGTGTTACAGTAATAATATAGCAGGAGGTCACTCGTTGTACCCAGCATAAACATTCCTACTTTTCTTTGTGTGTGTGTGTTAACAGGAGGCACATCAAGGGCATCGAGTGTATCAAGTGCAGTGGGCCATAGGAATGAAAAACCTGTGTCTGATTCGTCCAGTGGGGCGTTACAGAGGCCTAAACCCACTAATGTTCGTGCTGCTTGGTTATAAGTGTGTTCTTTGCCTCGCGTGCTGAGATGGTCCTGAGATTTCTATTTCTAGTGCTTTTGTAAATTCTCTGTGCAAGACTCTTCTCTGCATTGTTTGGTGATTAAAATGCATTGCATATGAAGTAATTGCTTATAAAATGGTTTTAAAGTAACTCTTTCACTTTAATCAGTGTTTGCTGTGAAAAGTATTTATGAAAGAGAAGGAGGTATTTGAACAGACAAGTGAAATAGAAATTCCTACTTATTATTTTATACGCAAATCACAAGTGGAATTTGTATCCATGAAGGGGAAGGATGGAATTGTTGCACTATGGGTCCAAGATGTAAAGAAAACCTTTAACAAAGGAAAATTTATTTTTTAAATTGCATTAAACTTGTGAGAATATGCTTAATTCCTAGATTGTCCTTACTTTAGGTAAGCCTTCAGGACTCTATAGGTCATGTTTCTGTGGCTGTGACTCTCCTTTTTATAGCAGCATGAAGTGGGGAAAAGCAGGTTTTGTATTACTGCATGTCCACGTGGTGAACATTTGTTTTGTGCTCAAGGCTGCATCTCTTCCAGATTTAAAAGAACTTGAGAAGTTGTAGTAGGACCTTTGTGCAGAAAAGGAGCATCTAATGTTTTATGAACACCGGATTGAAGTCCGAAGTGAACAGCAGTTTCAGATTCACTTTTAACAAGTGTAAGTTTCTAGTATTTCTCAAGCTAGAGAGTGAGGAAAGTATTTTGTGGCCCTGCGTGTGCAAATTGTCGCCCTTCCCTGTTGGGAGGTGTAAATCTGAGCTGTGGGAGACTTGGACATCTGGTTTGAGAGCAATGGTTAGCCAGGATTAAATAATAGATGCAGGAAGAAACTGAAATAAAGTTACAACTGCTCTCCTTAACGTATCTTTTTAATGCTATGTTTGTACCAAATATTTGGAGTAGTGTCAGGTAGGCTTCAGCATCTACTTCCATTTATAGCAGGGGTAAAATGTAATGGCGTTGGTAATAGCAAATAGTAGGTGATACGCTTTATTTCTCTGCATAAAGGCAAGCTTTCAGTGAGCTTATTGTAGGCCCTTAGTCTTATAAAGAGCGTAAACCGTGATGCTGCTGTCCGTGGATATCACTGGAATCCTGCGTGCTTCCCCAGCTGCTTCCTCGCAGGAGATGCGCAGGAAATCTCTTTGAATAAAGGGGAGAAAAAAAAAAAAAAGCTGTATTCAGTAACGCTGGGTCTTAGCCCTACAAAAAGGAAAGTTGATTTTTCTTTGCTCATGTTTGCGTAAGGGCTTAGGCTTGTAGCTATTTTGTATTGTAAAACACTTGTCCCTTGGTCCTCTGTGATGATTAGTCAGAGCTTCTGCACCTGTTAACCTGATCCAATTTAGCTGTTTGACAGTATTTGACAAGGTGTTTCCAACTGAAAGCAGCATTGTGGCAAATGGATTGCTTTTGCAATTAGTCATTGATAGGGACTATATAGCATTTTTTTTGCATACTGCGACTGTAATTATTTGTACTATTGTGCTTATTAAAATTATTCTATATTTAAAGATCTCTGTCCTTGAATGTGAATATCAGGGTCGTGCTTTAAATACTTTTAAATGTTTGTATGATAATTATTTTCTGTGAAGAAATTCACAGACTGGATTACTTTTAATCACTTTATTTAACTTTGTTATGTAAGACTGTCAATTTTGTATGTTACTCTTTTGTAAATTGTAAGAAATAAAATATTTAACATGAAAGCAGTTTGTCATTGCATAGACCTCTTATAGAATTTTATGTTTGATATTAAATTGCAAAGGATGTAGTAGGAGAAACTTCATAGTAGGTGTAGTAGGACAAAACACAAAGAATCAGTTTATTAACCAATGCGTTTAGCCTGTTTCCTTTCATTCTTGGCCAGGATTATATGTGCTAATAAACTCTTATAGGTTCCTGCAGTGGATTTTTCTATACTAAACTATCTGGCCACAACACAGTTATTTGTTTAAGATTAGCAATTAAAATCATATCATAGAGATAATTTTCTTAACAAACTTTTCTAGCGAACCCTGTTTCTAATAGAATTTTGTTTGTTTGTTTGGTAAGCTGTTATTTCCAGTTCTTTTTCTCCCCTTTTTCCCTCCAGAAGAATTCTTCGAAAGGAATTTGGGAGCTGCTTCCCCTCCTCCTTAAATGAAGCTCTTGGGAGTGGTTACATCCCTGCCTGGACAGCTGAAATGTGGAGGGTGCTTTTCCCACAGAGCCTTGAGGAGTTGTTTAGAATTCACCTTTAGTCCCAGATAA